AAGTTATAAGACCCTGATTGCATATAATCAAAAGAGTATCCTTATACAAGCATCTTGCTTTCAAGGACTCGAATAAGGGTTTGTTTACGTATGCAAGCAAGATTGATACAGTGACGCAGCAAAAGAAGCGTATCATTGCAACGTGCAACAAAATCCCACTTGCGCGTTGTCAACAAACCTTTCAAGTAGAAGAAAATGGCTAATAAAGTCACAAGTAATATTATGCTAACGTTTGCAACCAGAATAATTATAGTAAAGCAGCGAAATATGAGTAATGTTGCAAAAAGATATAAAACCCTGATTGCAAATAATCAAAAGAGTATCCTCATACAAGCATCTTGCTTTCAGGCTCTCAAATAATGGTTTGCTACCGTACGCAAGCAGGATTGACACAGTGACGCAGCCCAAGAAGGGTTTTATTGCAACGTGCAATAAAATCCCACTTGCGCGTCGTCAACAAACCTTTTCATTAGATGAAAATTGCTAATAGAGTCACTAGTAATAATTTGCTTGCGTTTGCAACCAGGGCTATTACAGTAAAGCAGCGAAATATGAGTAATGTTGCAGAATGTTATAAAACCCTGATTGCAATTAATCAAATAAGTATCCTTATTGGAGCATCTTGCTTTTAGGGTCTCGAATAATGGTTTGCTACCGTATGCAAGCAGGATTGATACAGTGACGCAGCCCAAGTAGAGTTTTAGATGAGTTATCATGCTGGCAAACGGTAATCAAACCATTAATCGAGAGTCAAAAATGAAGTTCCTTCCATAAGGATGCTCTTAAAATTAAGCGCAATTAAGGATGTTATTACATTTTCCAATATAACTCATTATGCGCTGCTTTCCTGCAACAATACTGGTTGCAAACGCCAGCAAAATGTCACCATTGACTCTTATATGTAGCAAGAATCTTCTACGGCGGCGTAGCGCTCTCCCACTCCTCGCTTTTGTGCTTCTTGTCTTCTTTCTTCTCCAGCCGCCGCGCGCCCGGAGCGGGGTCGGGATACCCTATTGTGAGACATGTTTCACCCCGGTTAGCTAAATCTGGTATCTATGTTGATAAATATTGTTTCAACATGAGTCAATGGATAAGAAAACTACATCAAATCGACAAGATTGATTCATATTTTGGTAAGAAAATGACAAACACTTTTACCCAAAAAATTGGGTTTTATTGATCCGAACTAGGGGTTGATCCGAAATACGCGTAAAAAAAGAGTTTGTTCCCCCAACGAACGATTTTGTTAACATAAACATAACATTAATTTTTTTAGTTGCAGGAGCAAACATATTGCTCTGGGGACAAAAAATCAGCTACCAGAACTATTACGTCGATACCAGAACAGATACGTTATTTCTAAGAAAAAATCCTCATTTAGTAATTAGAACAGTTGCATTAGTTAACATAGTTGCGCGTTAGTTGTGGCAGAAGAATTTTCCCTCCCATAGCAAATTATTCGCTCCTGCAACCAATTTTTGTTTGTTATTTCCATGTTGGCAAAATCGTTAGTTGAGGCACCAAATTCATTTTTCCGTGTATAGGTTCAGTTAGTTATTCTATATACAGGACACAAAAACTCAGTTCGTGTTAAAACTATTTTTCTTGACAATTAAAACTAAGTATGCATTTCCAAGCCCATTTCAGTACAGAAATCCCGTTGAAACCTGTTGCTAGTATACCTACCCACATGGATAAATAAGCTGAGTCATCTCTTGCACTAGCTCCTGCATTATCTCCTGAATCAACGTCTGCACCAACCTGTGCACCATCGTCTGGTTGAACTCCTGCACTAACGTCCGCACCATCCTCGGAACTTTGCTGCATTGCTGCACACGAGATTCTGCAAAGATGTCTCATTTATTTATTTTTACATGAAAACATTTTAATGTGACACAGTTTATCTGACGCCATGTTTTAGTGCCGGGCAGTGCCCAGTGGGCACTACATTTTCCTTCCCTAAAATGCTACGTTCAGCTCTCAGCTCCAGACGTGTTGTGCAACGAAAAAACATCGATCTGCACTCTGAAAAAAAATCCATCTTGTTTTTAAAAACACAAGATATAATGCAATTTACAAAATGAATTCGCTCTTCAATTTGGAACAAATGTTTTATTAAAATTAAGAACATGTTTTAAAATTTAAAAAGGTATTATTAAAAAAAAAAAAAAAGCTTCTCTCTTCCTGCCTAACAGTTCTAGTTCTTTCCCCTACGAACGCAGATGTGCAAACTTAACTTTCTACACATTACAGATGTTTACCTTACTTTAACTGGGCGAATTTGAACCTCGGATATTTGGGCTAGGATCCTAACGTCTTAGACCATTCGGCTGTCAGGACACACCTGTGAAGGAAACGTTTAGTGGAAAAAGGGGCTGCTTGGGCCCAAAGTAGATGAAAATGTCTCCGGCTTGTGCCCGCTACCTTCACAGGGAGAGCTGATTGTCCTACTGCAGTTTTATTTTCCGACGGCCGCACCGCTCGTCTCCAAAATGTGAATGATTTGCAAAATTTAAACGCATTGAACTACAGCGTTCGAAGTAACGTCAATCTACTGGAAAACTCAATGGCCAAATGGTAATAATTTGCTAACGTTTGCAACCAGGATTAATACGGTAAAGCAGCGAAATACGAGTAATGTGGCAAAATGTTAGAAAACCCTAATTGCAATGAATCAAAAGACCATCCTAATATAAGCTTATTGCTTTTAGGGTCTCGAATAATGGTTTGATACTGTTTGCAAGCAGCAATTCCAATGGACTTTTTTTGTCCACAGCAAGATGCGTTTTGAAGCACATCTTCACAGGATGCATTTTAACATCTTGCAAATGACAAATTTGCATCTTATCCTTGGACAAAAAAAAATGGTCCAGGATTGTGCCGCAAATTTGTCATATGCAAGATGCAAAAATGCATCCTGTCAAGCAAGATGAGCTTAAAAACGCATCTTCCTATGGACAAAAAAGTCCATTGCAATTTAGGGTGGGGACGACTCGGCTCCCCGCTCGGCTGTGCCGCCGAGCCGAAGCCCGAGCGGCTGGGTAGCGCGCTCCCCCTCTCCGCGCCCAGCAGCGCGGCGCAACCCCTTCCAAGCTCCTCTTCAGTTTTTCGTACAGCTCAAATA